AAACGAAAAGGTTCAAGAGGAGACCGGGCTCATGTGAGATAAGTGAAAATTTAGAAAAAAAAGTTAATTAAGAATGTTAACTAATTTGTTATAGTAATTAAGAACCTTATGACATGTAAATTGAGTTGAAATAAAATAAATAAAATATATGAGGTTAAAGTACCTTATTTGAGTTGGCTTTTATATACAGGAATAGAAGGTAATTAATATCAATTTGTTGTTCACCCTTTAATATCTTTTTATGCTCTTTGATAGAATGAAAGAAAGTTGGATAGAAGAGAAAAAAAGAAAAAATGAATGAGAAATCCCTACAGAAGAGATTTTGTATTTCTTTTTTCTTGTTTGGTTGGATGGAAAAAAATAGAGGAAAGAAGGATAGAGTAAGGGCTAATTTTAGGATAAGGATCATTTCCATGTGAATCTCTCTCCTGTTCTTTCCAAACCTAATCTAAAGGTCAATATTAAGACACGTGATTGAAGATCACTTACCTATATTACACCGTTTTGGGACCAAACTGACGTTAACCGCAGACATTTTCTATACAAATTCAATACCCAAATTTATCTCGCTTGCCCTTACCAAAAAAAAAATTTCCCTGGCTTTTTGCATTTCTCCTTAATCTTCTCTTTGTACAAAACCCTTTTTTCTAAAATTTCCCTCGCTTTTTTTTTTTTCTTTTTTTTTACGTTACCATCCCATGAATTCCTTACTGAAATTTTCCTGAAATTTTTTTCCTGAATTTTATTTTTGTTTACGTTACCATCCCATGAAATTTTCCCTAAATTTCAAGTTAAAACTCTTTTCCTAACTTTTTCGAGCAACCAAACATCAAATTTTTTTTTTTTTCTTTCAGCAAATGATATTGAAACCCAACTGGATTTAATGCCTTATTATTGTTCAACGGTCATTCATACAAAGCTATTTTGTAGATATTGTGATAAGCGATTTGGGTATTGATTTCTATGGTTTATGATTTTGCAAAGGAGACACTTCATTCTGCGGTGAAGAGTGCAGACAAGAGCAGATAGAGATACATGAAGCCAAACAGAAGAATTGGAACCTCTCTGCTTCCAAGAATTTCTTGAGAAAAGACCAGAAAAAATCCACTCCTCCCCCAACAACAACAGAGTACCCCTTCAGTACAGGCACAGTGGTAGCTGCTTAATCAGATCAACCCCCCAAAGAAAAATAAAAAAGAAATACTACGTATATATTTTCCAACCAAAAAAAAAAAAAAATGAGAGGAAAATCTGTGATATTGTCCATGGAGTTGGAGGAAAATATGAAAACCCAATTTAGGTTTATTTATATATATATATATATATATATATATATATATATATATATATATAAATGAAGGTAGATCTTCATATGAGGTTTGAGTTTTTGTTGGGTGTGTTTTACAATTACTCCTTTTTGGTGGTTGGTGGTGAAGATCTTCCTTCCCTTTTATTGTTTTCTGTTGGTGTAGAAAAGGTTTGCCATTAATGTTTCGTTTGGTTCCAAAACTGTATAGTATAGATAAGTGATCTCAAATCACGTGTCTTAATATTGACCTTTAAATTAGGTTTGGAGAGAGTATGAGAGAGATTCACATGGAGATGATCCGTACCCCTAATTTTAAGAAAAGTTTCGTAATTTAAAAACATATATAAGAGCATCTCCAGCGGAATATCAAAAAACTCATTTATGTAAAATATACAATGCCACATATGATTTGTAATTTTTTTTTCATCCGTAGCAGTCTGTTAAGATACACTGTCACATCACCAATGTGTAAAAAGGTATCCCTAATTTTAAGGAAAATTTTATAATTTAAAAACATTTATAAGAGCATCTTCAGCAGAATGTTAAAAAACCCATTTGTGTAAAATATACACTGGCACATATGATTTGTAATTTTTTTTTCATCTCCAACAGTCTGTTAAGATACACGGTCACATTACCAATGTGTAAAAGTGTTGTGTATTTTACACCGCCTTTTTACACAGCCATGTAAGCACATTTTCTCTCTTTTTCACTCGCGGTTCTCTTTCTTCTCTCTCATTCCTTTATGCCTCTTTGCTTCCCACTTTTCTAGAGCGCCATAGAGAAAAATCTGCAACTGGCAGCAAAGTAATAACTGTTCAACCATCTTTTATTTTTTTTAATAAACATAGTTTGATTCATCACTTTCGTTTGATCTTCTGCAATCATCGTTGTAGATTCTAGAGTCTTTTTTAGATTTTTTTATCCTTTTACTTTCTATTCTAATAAGATGAATATGTGCTAGCTAACTAAAGATTAGATATATATTTTAATCACATTTTTATATAATTGTTGATATAATTATGTAGTTTCTGCATACTTAAATCTTTTTATTTTATTATTTGTTATTAAGTTAAAATTCTGGTGGCAGCAGGAAAGGTTTGCTATTGGCGAGATGGAAAAGTGAAATATAGGGGAAAATTATTATTTTTTTCCTAATTGAGGTTGGGACTTGAGATTTAATCGCGAAAAAGTAAAGTGAATTAAGTAAGTTTGTAAAAATTATGTAGAACATTGGATATGACACGTAGTTGGTTGTTATTGGGGGAATTTTTTTTACACAGAAGGTATAAAATAACCGCTAGTGCTAAAAATAGGTAGTACAAAAATTTTGTATAAATCTACTCTCACACATCAGATTTACACAAAAATATATACACAACGATTGGAGATGCTCCTTTGCATTTATTCCTTAGTGTCTTCCGTCCATATTTGAAGCGAAGAAAATTTATGTCCATATTTGAAGGGAAAAAATTTTATAAAGGAGGAATGATGTCTCATCCATCTTTTTTTATCTTCTCTCCTTATCTCCTTTTTACCGATGGAAGTTTATTTCTTCTTTCATGTCTTCTCTCCACCCCCTCTTTGTTCTATCCTACCAAACGAAGTATTAAATATTCATAGAGTAAACGCGTGACAGAGACACCGATGGAGACTATTTTGTTATTTTTCTATGTTTAGTTAGTTCGGTATTTATTTTTGGTAATTGATGTGTGGAGAACGATAGTTTTGTGAGATTTTATGCGGATGGTGTTGATTTTTATTATGGATATATTTATTGGTTTAATACGTGCTCTCTTTTTTTATTGGAGTTGATTTCATAATGTGGATGGCTTTGGAGGTGAGAGACCTTATTGGTTTAATAAGGTTTATACTTCAAATTTGGGGCTGACAAAGGAGGTGAGGCACGTATCTGACTATACATCACTTGAGAAATGACTAGCAATCTAATGACCAATAACATCTTGACAAGTCCAAAAATTTATAAAAAAATTATTATATAATTACGACCAATCACAAAGTTATACATAAATAAATAATAATAATAATAATAATTAATAATAACACAAAATTAACACATGAACAATTTCGTAAAATCATATAATAATTTCTCCATCATGTTTATGGTCCAAGCAAACAGATGTAATATTTTAACCATGGCACACGGAGTAGAGATTGTAATTTGTTAAACGTTTGTGTCATTAAAGTTGAGAACAATCGACAACAAGAAGGCTAAAGCAATCTATGGACAGAGGAAAAGGGATATGTTATTGGGTTGAGTCCAGAATAAAAGTTTGATTTCTGAATTGAACCATGACTCATATATATATATATATATATATATATATATGGATTCAAGCCTTTTGACAGTTAGGATCCACCATACAAAAATGCTAATGTCCTTAAATAAGATTTAGCTTAAAATTAATGAAGCTTTCTACAACTTGAAAGTCAATAGCTCCAAATGATTTAATCAAATGAACGTTTCCTTGCCTCCTAAATTGATTGAGGCTTTGAGTTCTGATCGTCCTTCTTCTCCTTAGTCTTTGTTTACTTTTGCTTCTAAAAAAAAAATAGCTAAAAATAAAAATAGCTATGCTATTTTTTTTTTTTTTTTTCTTATAAGAAAATTAGTAATTTTTATGAGCTTTGTTATGTTCACCCAGTGAATGACCACCCAAAAAATCATGGTAGATTGAATCACATAATTAATACTTTCTTTCAGTATAAATACAATAAATCATAAGTCTGGAAACAAATAATTAATGTAATCCAATCCCTAGACACCCAAAAAAAAAAAAAAAAAACACAAAAGTTTTAAATAAAAAAGATTACCACTAGAATGGTAGTTGACATTTGTAAGCGTGCGTAAGTATTTACTAAACAAAAAATTATTAATCTCACGGCCCAAATTAAACAACAATTCGAAATCCGGAAACTCCCCAACACCTTGAGGAATATACTTGCTTGACGTAAGAGTCTGTAGACAATAGACATTTTCAAGTGCTATTCAAGGATTCACTGTATATTAAATTTATGAAAGTTTTTGAGCTGTATATCAAATTTGTGAGAGTTTTTTTTTTAATAAGTCTCTCTATAATCAATTCAGAAACGTTTCTTTCTTTCCTTTTCAATGAGAGCCTACTTGTTCTTTTTTGGAAATTAATGAGAGCCTATTTATACTTGAGAACAAAAGTAGTATCTACCTTGTGCCATTCGAACTCGATCTTTCCTTGATAATGACAAATATATATATATATATATATCTATATATATATATATATATATATATATATAATAAATTAAATTAAATAAAAGGAACTCTTTCCTTTCCATAATCTCTAACCCTAGCTAGCTGTATATATATATATGACGGACCAATAAAAACACTTTGTGAACTCCAAAGAAGCTAGCTCAGTCATATAGTAGCTCAGTCATTAGGGTTTTGGATAGTCTATCCAAAACCCATTTCAAAACTTCCATTCACAGTCCATTTTCTCTTCCACAAATTTGAAAGGAAAAAAGTGAACCCAATCAACTAAGTTTGTCTACCTATTTTCTTAATTTGTCAAGTATTGTACGAGACCTCGACCCTGTCTAAAGATTTGACGTACAAATAGATTCCAAACTCAAACAAGCTTGCAAGCAAGGGTCGATTGATAGTTTTTCTAGCTATACCATTACTCCAAACATGTCCGTTATCAACTTAAATCTATGTCATCTCTTAGAGGTCATGAACCTCAATAACCTCACCTTCATTTCACCATTTTTGTGCCTAACCCTAATGATTCTCCTCCTATCACATATTTTCATGACAAAGCCATCGCGCAAAGTTTACTTGCTCAACTTTGCATGTTACAAGCCCCCGTTGGCCCTATTGTGCTCTAAAGAAGTGGCCTTAGAGCGAGCCAGACGCTATGCAAATTTATCGGAGGAGACTTTGGTGTTCATGGAGAAAACGTTGGAGAGATCAGGACTTGGTGACTCGACATACTTGCCGGAGGCTTATATGAGAGATCCTCCAAATATATGCTTGGAAGAGGCTAGAAGAGAGGCAGAGATGGTGATGTTTGGGGCCATAGATGAGCTACTAGTGAAGACAAGGGTGAAATGCATGGATATAGGGATATTAGTGGTGAATTGCTGTATTTTTAATGTGGTGCCGTCTCTTTCTACCATGGTAGTGAACCATTACAAGCTTAGGGACAATATTGTGAGCTATAATATTGGGGGTATGGGGTGCAGTGCTGGACTCTCTGCAATATCTCTTGCCAAACAGCTCCTTCAGGTTGGTATCTCTATCTATACTCTTGCTATGTGTATATATATATATATATATATAATATTTGCAAGTTAGTCAACAGCTTCAGGTTGGTAAATAATTTGATTTGTCCCCCACAAATCTATGCGGGGTATAAGCTTTTTTTTGAAAACTTCACAAACGCAAAAGCTCACAAGTAGTAAGCGGTAGTGTTCTTATAGTTTATTGACTTTAAAATGTATAGACTGAGTTTTCCATGTCTGATCAACAGGTGCACCATAACACCTATGCTCTAGTGGTAAGCACAGAGAACATTACCCAAAACTTTTACATGGGTAGCGACCGCTCTAAGTCACTAATCAATTGTGCATTCCGTGTTGGTGGGGCAGCCATCCTCCTCTCAAACCGACCGTCCGATCGACCCTCATCAAAGTTCCAGCTCATCCACACCGTCCAAACCAACACGGCTCATTGCGACCGTTCATACAAGTGCATCATACAAGAAGAAGATCAGGAAGGACACTTGGGCGTCACGGTCACCCGAGATCTCATGGCAGTGGCAATCAAAGCCGTTGAATCCAACATGACCGCACTAGGACGCCTGGTCCTTCCCGTATCTGAACAAATCCTCTACATCACAAACTACTTAATAAGACATCTCCACGTGGCAGAGATCAAGCCGTACGCTCCGGATTTCAAGAAGGCATTTGATCACATCTTCCCACACGTTGGTGGAAAACCGGTACTGGACGAACTGCAGAGAAACTTGGGGTTGAGTGATAAAGACATGGAAGCTTCTAGAATGACCCTCTATAGGTTTGGGAATACATCCAGTAGTACAGTGTGGTATGAGCTCGCCTATGCTGAGGCAAAAGGGAGGATCAAGAGTGGTGATCGTGTGTGGCAAATTGCCTTTGGGTCCGGGTTCAAGTGTTGTAGTGTGGTGTGGCGTGCGATAAGGAACGTTGATCCAGAGGCGATGAATCCATGGACAGCTGAGATTGACGAGTTTCCTGTGGACTTGCGTAACCACGTTCAAGTTGGGTTAATCCCTTACCATTTTGAACCCTCCAAACAGGCATGATTCAATAAATCATGTTCCTACTAGGTTATTTTTATCTATTTCTCTATGGAGGGAAGTATTTCAAGCTTTTGTGCAACTTTATAGTTTTGCATTAATTTGTTTTAATTTGGTGTTTTTACTATGTTTTCATTTTATGGGTTTTAAAATTATAAAAAAAAACATTTATGTTTCAAAAATAATATATAAATTTATTAGAGTTATATTTAGAAGCATTGAATCCATCCTTTAAAATTAACTAATTACAATTATCTTTCATATGTGACATTTTAATAAATAATTTTATAATAGAGTTATGATATTCGATTCTGAATTCAGTTTTTTAGAGTTATGCGTCCACCACCCATTTGTATAACTTCACGTAACTTCATTTCAAATATTTTTCAAATTGAGATCATAAATCATTATTTTTTATATAAGGTGGAGGCTAACCTCTCCTCCCCACTCACATAACTTCATTTCGAACAAGTCCGAATTCAAAACATAAATTATTATTCTTTATAATATACTGGCATTTGGTTAGATTCGTTGTTGTCGAACCAAGATCGGCTGGACGTGTGTGTTTGTGGTTTGGATGGGTCAAGCCCAGCCTTCATTAGGGTATTTGGTTAGATTTAGGCATTTACCCAATATGCTAATTAGTAAAATGTCCCGCTCCCGCCAAATTAGGATAATTAAAAAAAAAAAATGGTTAGATTCACTTGGTAGAATGTTGTTTGTGTTAGTCTTGCCCAACGACAAAAAGCCCACTCATATCAGTTTGTGACAGCTATTGAACATCACTATGTACATTTAACCTTGTTTATGGTGTCCATTAGGATCGTCCTTTAGAAGCCCAACTCATTGTTGTGTTGGTTTACTACAAATTTCGAAGGCAAGAATGCAGAACTGGGCCATTTCCGACTTCATATACAATAATACAAGTGTTACGATGCCGTTATTGCTTTAATTTTACATTTTTAAACATTGACAAGAATCATCCATCTTCTATTCTATTTTGAAAGGTGAGAAAATATCACTAGGCCACAAGGCCTTTTGATTCAGTAACCATATTTTTTCCACCAAACTAATAGAGTTGCACCAAGTCGGACGGACACGTCGTCTGCTGATGCACTACATGTACAGAGGATTCGGACTTCATTTGATGTAGAGAACTGAAAAAAATGGTTTCTCATACCAATTTTTGACACTTTATGAACAGTGTGTTCCACAACCTGAACTTTCACCATTGTACGAAGTGTTTGGCTCGGTCCCAATCGAATTTAAAACTTGCAGATGTAGGTTCTTGTTAAATTTAAGAGATCGTTCCACGAGATCAAAGTCTAGGTGGAGATCCAAATTAGCACAAGGGATTCTCTTCAGAAGCCTCTGTTTTCCTAAGCAACGTTTGTAGCCCGTCGTCAAGCTGCTAAAGGAGTGGGAATTCTCTAATGTCATTGTGAAGGATGACTGTAACTCTGTGATTGACTTGATCCGCTCTGAAGAGTATTGTTTGAATGCTTCTTTGGAATGGACTCCTCGCAAGGGTAGAAAGTCTTTGGAAACCAAATGTGGTGATTTGGAGTGGAGCATACGGTAAATGCTCCATCTCTTGATTGTAATCTTGTGTTTGTTTGAATGTTATTCCCTCTTATTTGGCGTTTAAAAAACAAAAACCTTTGTTGACCATTGAATACGTAGAAAAGGAATTTATTTCTGGATGTTTAATTATTTCTGAATTACACTAGACACCCCACATAATTATAATATACCGCAATCTACCCTTTGTTCTACTAGCATGCATTTATACCTTATATGTTGACCCCTCAACTCAATACAATTACTTACAAGTCCCTAGTATATATCAGATAATTTAATAGAACATTTATCTCAACCAACTCAATTTACTAGTGTTATTTAATTTATATCTTTGCATGTGGATAAGATTTAACTACAGCACCAGGATTTCTTTCCACCAATGCCCCCTTCAATAAATTAATACGAGGTGGCACACGTGTGGACTGTACATCAACTGAGAAATGACTGGTCGGTGTAAAGACCAATAATATTTTGACACGTACAGAAGCCCGTGTGATCACTCCCACTCTCATATCTCATGTATGTATGTATTATACGTATGTGGTCCCAAGCAGGAGTAGATGTAACCATGGCAGCACCCAGGACTGAGAGTACAGATGGTGTGTGTCATCAAAGTTGAGAACAGAAACTTGAACGAAACTCTCGTGTCCTATACACCGACACAAACCAACACCCATCTTTGTTTGATTCGGAAAAGGCTTTGAAAATATCAAAACTCATCACGAGCACGAGTCCATCATCCACAAACTTAAATAGTTAAATTCCTAAGTTCCACACTTACCTACCTAAAGTTTTTCTAAAGTTATTAACAGTCTGCTCGGAAGGTCCCTCAGCTGTCCACTCTGCTTCCACTATGGCCAAGAAAACTTGGACACAATCACACAGTACATTCCAACGAACGTTAGCTCAAATGATATAATACCACATCCCTAAAGGAGAGATTGAGTGTCCAAGTCCCGGGACTAGAACTATTATATCTCCCCTCTCACCCTTTAGAGGGGAGATTGAGAGTCCAAGTCCCCGGACAAACGAAATTTGGTGAGCCAAGTTCAAGGAGAAGAGAATTCAGGTGGTTTGGTAGGTGGGCTAGTCCGGAATGGGAGTAGGTGCACCTCTAGGGTTGGTACCCCATGTTTGGATGTCAACATACAACAGTTGACAAGAGAGAGATTTGTTTCCTGCTGAAAGTATCAACTCTTATTATCCATGGCAATTGAGAAACATACAGGGGAAATAATTTATTACCCGAAAAAGGAAAAGAAACCGAAAGGGAAAATAAACAGTAGCTATGTTGAAACCCTTTTTTTCTATATTCTCCATTATCAATAAAGAAAAAAGCATTTTACAGAGAAGTAATAACCACGGGAAGGACTAAAAATAGTGGGAATTTGATTGATTTTGATGGTGGGTTGACATGGTGTTTGATGTTGTTGTGACTTTTCATATTACTAAACATTGTCATAGAGAGTTAGGGTGAAAGTGAAGATTTGGCTTTTTGGTTAGACAGGACACTTGTTTAATAGGAAAAAGATGCTCTCATTGTACCCAATTCAACCTCCCAATAAAAAGTAAAAAATAATAAAATCTACAAACATTTCAAAGAGATCTGAAAAACGATAAAAACAAACATCTAACAACTCTCAACCACCATTTGTGAGGGGGTGAGGAGAAATCACTTGTTTTAAAACTCATTTTAAATCTATAATATAGCCTAATATTATGGTATGGAGCCACTATCACAAACGTCCATTGTGAGGGCATACGTATGAGATGATTTGGACTAAAATGTACATTTATTATTTGTAGTAGTTTATGCCTTTAATGGTACTTTGAGATTAACAGCAGTCATCAGATTTAATATATGCTATATAGTTAAAAATATATTAAAAATAAAGAAATGTGAAATTACCTAGAATTGAATTGAATATCCAAACAGAAGAACAAGTTTACCATTAATCTATCTGCTCTCCATTCAGCACAGCATCCAAGACGGCACGGGCATCTCTTCTTCAATTTAATATTCCTTCTCCTCCTCCTCCTCCTCCTCACTAAAAGAAATGAATTCAAAAATCAAACCAAATGTCCAAAAGGGTAAAAGGAAAAAAGAAAAGAAAAAAAAAATGATTACAGCCATAGAAAGCAAAAGAACGGAGATGAACAACTTTACCTTTTTCTTCTATCCATCAATTCGTTCCCTTTCTCCACAACTCAGCAGATTGAAATTTAATACGAGTTACAAAAAACTATAGGTATGGAGGAAAATCTCCAGATTATTAGATAACACAGAAAAGGAGATATGAACCAAGAACTACAATTGTTATAATATTTGTAAAACTATTTCTTAAGTCTTTTATTGATTATATCAGTAAAGAAAAGACCCTTACAAAAAAAAGGAGAAGGGGCAGGTTAAAACGTTATGGGGTACCATATATCATATTCGATTCTCAGATACCAAACAAAGAAAAGAAAAAGAAAAAGAAAAAAAATCAAAATCAAAATCAAAATTTTACGGTTCATCTCCAATGACAGAAGCTAAACCAGTGACAATCTTGACTCCAACTTGTGAACTTTTCGGTTTGATCTCCCGTGGTTCCCATTGTTTGACCGCCGGAGACTTCTCCCCCTCGCTAGAACTTTCCGACAGAGTAAACATATCATCGCCAAGATTGGTCTCGACCGGAGAGCTTTTCTCTCCGAAATTCAGCTCAGACTCGCTCGAAGAACTCGAACTCTTCTTGGTTCGAATTAATGGCACTTTGTTCTCAGATTTGAGATTGGATTGGATCGAATCACTATGAACAAGAATCGGCGATGGTGATGGTGTTGGTGTTGGAGTTGGTGTGGTTCGGGTGTAGGGAGAGAGCCATTTGGCTTTGACATACTCTGCTTTTCTCCAAGGTGGAAAGTGCATCCCTTTCTTCTTCAAGCTCTGTTTCGCAGCCTCCGATACGATGGAGACCATCCTCTGAAGCCGATCAGATTTTCCGACGAATATATACGGCAGAATTTGAAGGATTGTTTTGTAGGTCTTGGTCGATCGTGCAATTTCGAATTCTGATCTGAAATCAATGTCGATTATCAACCTCTCACCGTCCACAATCGCATCCACGTATTCATATTCCCCTGTATCACAACAAAATTTCAGATTAAAAAAGCAATTAAATACAAATAAATCTCTGCATGTGTATATTCTCTCAGAAAGAGGCCAATTTTGTGCACCATATATATATATATATATATATATATAGAGAGAGAGAGAGAGAGAGAGAGAGGAGAGAGATAGAGTACCTGCGGGATAAGAGGAGGCTTTTTCCCATCGCGATTTGCAGATTGAAGCGTCGTATCCGAGAGCTAAGAGAGCATCGGTGACGATCCTTCTGCAATAATCGTCTTTACGCTTACAGATCTTGTTTTTCTCAACGATTTTTGCTGTGTCGGCCAACAGGTTTCTCTCAGAAACACTCGCACATGGGACCAAGCTCTGCTCAGAAAAGGAAATATTTTCAGGAAACAAATTGAACAATACTTCCAAATTGGAAAGCAAAATATCAGGAAATAGAAATACTACTACTTGTTTGATTCAAACCTTGAGAATTTCAGATGCATCACAACATGAGGTGAGATTCGAGTCGCCAAAACAACTGCATGAGTCCAATTCGTCCTCCGAACTCTCCGTACGGTTTCCGTTGAAGCAATTGCACCGGTGCCGGCCACACCGAACGGACGCCGCCGGCTTCTCATTGCTGTCTTCGATGAAATTCTGAACCATCTTCGCCAAGCAGACGGAGCTCGGGTCGAACTCGCCGGAGCCATCTTTGTTGCCACACGGCTCTTCCACGCCGACGCCGCCACCGCCACCGCCACCGGTTTTTTCCGCCGTCACCGATGTCCTCAGAACGTTAGGGAACTGCCGCTCAAACAGCCGCTTCAGCCGCGACTTCACCACCGGCTTTCCTGGCTCGTACGGTACTACCGATCCTTCTGGTGGTGTGTTGAAATCGATCGGTTGAATCTTCATTGAGAAAGGCATGACCAAAAAAACGGTCTTCGTTTAAACGACTCGTCAAATTTCTCAATTCTTCTCCATTTTCAGAGCTCAAACTTCGATCAAGAGTTAATTTTCAGTCAAACAAAATTCCTAAACCTCTCTCTCTGGTAGTATGTAATCTATGAGTTCCAAAAAAATTTTGAACTGAAATTATCAAAACAATTGAAAATTGATTGTTTATCCCGATAAACCGATCAAAAACAGGTATCGAAAATGAAGATTGGTCAATACATCGACGCAATTAGACTCGTCGAAGTGTCCATAACATCTCTTCTCCTCGAATCACCGAATTAAATCGACACAAAAACCAAGAATTTTGCTAAAGATCAATTGTATCCACCAAAATTCGAGAGCCCTAAGCTGAAATCGATACCTTTAACTCGCGGATTGTCATTATTATAATCGGTGTTTGCTTCCGATTTGCGAGACAAAGTATGGAATAACTTCGAAACTCTGCTAAGCAAGAGAAAAATAAAAAATAAAAATAAAAATAAAAAGAAGAAGTTGGCTTTTGCTTAGGGTTTGCGGATACGGTTAGAGCTAGCGAAGTACGCCATTACAAGAAAACGTGATATCATCATTCCCGCAATTCTGGAAACGATCCACGGCCGGACTCTCCATTCCGGCGACGAACTCGAGTTCACCGGCGAACTAAACGCCGTCGTCAAGGCACAGGAAAAAAAAAAAAAATGTGAAGCGAGTTAGAGAGAGAGAGAGAGAGATATGATAGCTTTTTCGGGTAGGTCGTTTTGGGTTTTCTGAAGGCTAAAGCACAGACCAGAAGACGGTCCTTTAAAAGGGGGAAATGGTGAGGAGTTGCTGACTAGTACATGGTAACGTTACGTGGCGTCCGACATGGCACAAAATAACAAATCTTCTGTTGCACACGTGTCACTGTTTGAAATCGGTTCTAATCGTGTTCGTAACCACATTTTGCCACGTCCACCACCCGCCCGACACGTTATGGGTTTGATGAAATACCGAAACTGTCCTCAGATATTTCTAAAAAGGCCGTGGTGGATAACCCTCGTGATACGGTGGCCTCGGGTAACCACCTCACGTTCGTGGCATGGGCATGGTCGTAAAACAAACCGCTCGTGTGACTTTCTTGACCGAAAAGCCCTTTTTTTAAAACCACAGTTATCACGAATAAGAGCCTAAATTGTGGCTAGGTGACTAACAAAACCGAGGGTATTTACGTAATCTAAGCTGCCAAGGGAACAATCATGTGTTAGCTTATTGGTTGCTTCTGTCAGTACAGTATTCCAGTGTAATTTCTGGAAAGTGGAGGTCTTAAAATGAACGGCTGTGGGGTCCACACACAAAACTGCCATGAAATTCTTGAAGCAACTGATGTGACATTGTATTGACGGAGATACCCTTCACAAGAAGGTCATAAAGTGGCCCACACCAATTTTCATCAAGTTTTTTTTTTTTTTTTCCTCTCTCTCTCTCTTCATGTACGGAGTAATTTTTTTATTGATAATTTGAATTGAACAACAATGTTCATGATCAATTAATATTTTTTTCTTACTGACAAACTATTGTTATAGTCTAATTACTTGTACATTATCAAAAGTATGGAGGGAAAAAAAAAAATACATTATCAAAAGTATGAAAACTATCTTAGGGCATTTAATCCAATTGTATACCCTCTTGGTACACAAAGAAAATGGGAGCATTCAAGTTCAGGTGTGAAAAAAAAAAAAAAATTTGGAGTTGTGTGTTTTTATCATTGAATAAAAAAAATTATTTTTCAAATATCATTTCATTGTTTTATTAACTAATTAAATGTTAACATAGAGTGATAAAACTCATTAAAAGAAAATTTAAGGTAAAAATATTAAATTAAAAGTTAGTAGGTGGAATTTGAAATACGACTCTCTCGAACAACGAGGAGCAATTCATTTACTAAATTACAAAGATGTTTACAAATATGTTTTTAATTAAATAAAGATAAATATTATTAGTTCATAATATCAATGACATGACATGAAGAAGCAACAGCAGTTAAAATTTGGATTTTAATTAGACAAATTTAATCATTAGTAAAGTTAAAAGACCAAATTTAAGCATTAATAAAGTTAAAAGACTGCAATATTAGTACCCGCTCCTCAATCCACCATAAAATTAAAAAATAGAGATCCATTTTGCAAAGCAATAAAAAAGTTATTAAATTCAAATTTTTAATTTTTATCTCTAACCGCATGGCTCAGTGTGTGTGTATATATATATATTTGGTTGAATTTTGTGATAGTTTATATTTTAAATTATAAAAGATATAAAAATTAAGTAAATACGTAATACAAAGTTGTCTAAAATTGTTCTCAACATAGTTTATTTATTTTTAAAAACTGGTCTGTCATTTTTAGAGAATTGAAATATAAAAAATAGTTTAAAATTTTGTCATTAATCTTTGATATTGTGGCTGGCTTCTCCTTTAATGAATGAAAAGCATGTATGCCATGTTGTTTCATTTAAAATAAAAATAAAAAAATTGGGACTTTCTTTTTTATGCTTTTCTAAAATAATTTTTTGTTTTCAAAATTCAAAAGCAAAAATAATTTTACTGTTGCTTTTAACTTTTCATTTTCAAAAATATACCTCATAGGGCCAAATACTATGGATGGTTTTTCACGTAATTTTGAGACTTGAGGGGTGCTGAAGTTTTTGGCAAAGTGGGACCCAGACACTCGACTCTTTTTTATTAATAATTGTACTACTTGATTTCCCTTTGTTTGATATGGGGAGAGAAGGGGGTATTTTGGGTATGGTGACAATTTCCTTTTTCCGCTAAACCGGTTAATGGATGTCGTCTAGCAGGGCACGCGGCGGTACTGCGACAGAGACGTTATATCAGTGGATCATGTGATCTCGCCACGTGTTTGTACGTAACCTTACAAGCCGTTGGATTATCATTCGAAACGACGGATAATACTTTAAAATTTGAATATCTTGTCGCTCTCTCGTTGTTAAGACTTAGCGGTGCATCCCTTAGATGCCTGTTTGGATTCAAGGAAACGGATGGAAAAAGTGAGAGAAATGCAAGGAAAAAGCGTTGTGAGTTGCTTTCCAAAGACGATGTCATCCCCTTAGCCTCAAATGTCACAAGGATAATATATTTTTATTTTTTATTTTTACTTATATTTTTTAATAGTTCATATGTATTTCATTCAAACTTCAAATGTCACGACTGTCAAAATACATTTTTTTTTTTTTACATGCAAAATGATTATTTTATTCCCAACAGTATACATTTATCACATAAACTAATAAAAGTCGAATTCAACAAAGTAATTTGCTAAATAACCATATAATAAAAATGGTATAAATTCTATATTTTTAGTTTTTATTTCTTTCCCTCCCATTTTCTGTTCAGTTTTGGAGGGATTAAAGAACATAGGTCAAGAATCAAGATGGATGTTTCATCCTCTCTTACTTCGTCCTTCTCTCTCATTTCTTCTTACCACACAGCGAAGCTTCTTTCCTCCATCCTTGATTAATGTGAGCAAAAGGTTAGCCCCTTCGTTTTGAACACAGCAATGTTTTTTTTTTAAGTGAAAATTTTAATTTTGTGAAAAAAATAAATGGTAATTCAAAACTTTGTATGAACCATTTACTTTTGCCTACGATGTATGTAAATTATATGTTCATTTTCCTTTTTCTCCAGCCCCACAACCCACAAAAAAAAAAAAAAAAACTTGTGGTAGTAATGACAGATTTGATAGCCATTTAAATGAGTTTGGGACGAATATGATAAAACAATTAAAAATTCAAAACGGATTCGGGATGGGGTGGATTTAGTGTTGAACCTGCTTCGCCCCCGTCCTGATTATATATGTACCTCTAAAATTATATTTATATATATAATATATATTTAATACTTTTAAGATCATTATGAAATGTCAGTTAATATATTAATATTTATTATTTAGTAATTTAAAAATTAAGTCATCTTGTTTATCAGCCCAATTTGAATACATTGGGTTAGTTTTTTTTTTTTTTACTAAATAATAAAAGTAGCATAACCTCGCCCTCTAATTAAACGAAGTGCGCAGTATGTAGTCGGCATTTTATCCACTAAAATAGGGACGGAGATAGTATACTAATTACAAACTCGTTTTAGAATAGGGTATTTAGCTAAACTTGCCCCGTTCCTGTCCTTGATGGTATACACTGGCCTTATATTTTTGTCATGTGTTATTATTATTTTGTGTCTAATAACACAGGAAGCCCGCCTAGGGCCTTGCGACCTAATAATGTTTTTTCTACCTTTCAAAATGGACGACGAGGATTAAAATTCCAGTAAAAACAAATTTAAATGAATTTACTTCACTATCTTAGTCATAATATAATATTCTTCAAAGTACCTTAACAATAAACCATTCATGTAAATAGTGCAAACTCTAATGAGTAGCCTCGTTTCATTGCAATAATTTTTTTGCGTTTGATTTCAGAACTTGAGAATATTTGTGACATTGTATTAAATAAATATATACATACACACATATTAACAAGATAATACTAGGTATAGAATTTTTTATTTAAAAAAAAAAATTAAACTATTTTTTTTTTAGGTATGTGAATAACATTTTCATGTATATGTACATGTATATTCTGTATATACTTTAAATGTAATAGTTCCTTGCTTCATCTAGCTACAGATCTTCCAATGCCACTTTATGATTTTATTGACTTTTTTGTTTCCTTCTTTTACTTTTTCTTTTTCTTTTTCTCCCTCTATTTTTTATTTATCCATTTTTACTTTTTCTATTTTTTTTTTTTTTTTTACACGCACCCCACTCTTGGAAAACTTTGGAACGTTGGAGTTTATATAAGCTTTCCTTTACTTTCTTTTTGTACTCAAATGCTTTGAATGTGTCATGAATCCGTGATTTACTTTTCAATGGCACATAAAAAAGTTACCAACTTTAAAAAATTACAATTAATTTGACAAAAGGCCTAGTTACTTGGATATTGATCACTCACTCATTCAGCTCTTTCAAGTTCGAAAATTTCGAAACTACACTCTATGTTAGGTGTCTCTTAAAAGTAGTGGACACCCCATATAATTTATGAAACTTACCACTAGGCGACATCAGGACGGATTTAGAAATTTATGAGGGGGTTAATTTTATATAGAGAGGTTTTTTTATAATTTTAGTGAAGTTAATTTAAAATTTTTATGAGTATAAATGTAAAAATATACAAATTTAAAGGTAAAAATGTAATAACAAAAAAAATAAGTGGGGACAAATGCTCCCACTAAGACCACAGTAGATTGGTAATGTGTGAGACACCCGACTAGTTAAATGTAATTACCTCCGTCCCATATTAATTGTTCATTTCAAAAAATTTGACTCACTGTTACATTTTATTTTTAAGTCATTTGAGGTCATCTCAAAATGTAATTTATCTTACCAATATCCTATAATTTATCTTAACAATATCCTATAAAGCAATATCATATTAGAAGTCTATTTTTTCTTTTTTAAGATGTCCGAAATTAATTATTCATTTAAAAAAATCAAACAAAATAAATACAATCTTTTTATAATTATCTTTCTAACGTTTTAAAAAATTTTCAATTTGGTGTTATATCTAATTAAAGTTAAAAGGGAGGGAGTATTATTATATTGACCCCTTAAGGTTAGGATTCCCCACTTTTATTTTTTTCTTTTTCTTTTTTGAATTATTTTTTTATTTTTTTGAATTATTATTTTTTTTTTTACCAACTAACCAATGATTCAATAATAAAGTTATAAGATCGCTTAATTGAT